TGATCTATGAAGCATATTATAAATATTTTAAACAGTGTCAAATCAGAAAGGGTTGAGAATGTTATATATGACATTGCATAAAGAGAGTGTATGATATCTACCCTCGAAGTATTATTTGAAATAGGGCTGAAACTAACAATCACTTTGTCTAATCAGCACTCCAGAGCTCTAACAATCCCAAACTTTTGGCACTTTGTTTAGCATCAAGCATCACTACCAGTAGCTTATTTTAAATAATTTTCTGTCTGTCGATAGCTTTTATTCCAGCATGATTTTACAAAGTGTCATCCAATACAGCCCCTTCACATACTGCAGCTGTGTTGTTAGGCCAGACTGTTATATTTTGAAGTTGTGGGAACAGCTTCCACAGCCCAGTGATCCATGTCTTGACCACATAATCCCACCAGGGAGGACATGTGGGGACTTAAGTCTGAGGCAACTTTGGCACCGGACCATCTTCATGTCATTTTCAGAAACCTTTGTGGCCCCGCTGCCCTGAAGCATCAAACAAGTCTACTGAGAGGAAGCGGACAGATAGGCTCCCTGTCTGTCTGAATTCTCGTTAAGTCTGTCTAAGAATGAGCCTAAAGGAATGAGGCGGGCACTCCTCTCTTCTTCTGCCCCGTTTGCCCTCCTTGGTGTAATAAGTAAACTAATGCGCTCCCGCAGGAAACCCGCTGAAACCTCTCAGTCTGGGGTGGTCTGGTTGCAGCACCAGCTCTAAAACAGCGTGGGCATGTTTTAAATATGTTAAACGTACCAAACTGCATTATGGGGATCTAATTAAGATTGTGTACGCTACAGTCTTGAGAAAAATGGGCCGGATTTAGTGGTTGGGCAATAATATGGCAAGTGGTGCATGCTGCATTTTTACAGTCTCATGACATTCCTTCAATCTAATTCGAAGCAGGCGTGGAATAGGGATCATAACATTGGGCTCTTTGTTATATTTATTCGACCTGCAGCATTAACTTGGCTGTTATATGGCATATCTGTTCAACCAGTTTCTAGCTTTGCCTTCATGCTCTTCATTTGCATTTGGATCCTGTCACTTTCTTAAAGTTTTGAGGGAAAATTTTTGTTTTGGATAATATTCATTCACAAACTAGATTAAAAATGTATTGAATCAACATCATCCTAACAGTGCTCTCTCTGTTTCCACAGTCTTGCTCTAATGTGGAGTGCTGGTCGCTCCAATGCAACGTGGGTCTTCTGAAGAAGGGAACTACAGCCATCCTCAAAGTGCACTCCCGCGTCTGGGCCGAGACCTTCATTGAGGTTTGTGGGAGAAGAACCTTGCCTTACAAACTCTTTAGACATGTACTGTACATGAACATGTGTTTCTAACAGAAGAAAAAGACTGCTCGCTACAGATTTGTCTCCTCCAACTGCTGCTTGTGTATTTTCTCATGTCAGGCTTTGGCAAGAGGCACACTTTCACTTAAGCATCATAAAAGAAAACAGAGTTAAAACCTCAAATGTGTGGCGGATAAGGAAAGGCAAATAGCTCCAGTAGACAGTCACACATATTTGTTTGTGTTCGCTCAGCATCGACAGTAGTTCTGAATCAGCTGACAATGTGCCCAGTCTTACATATTTGCCTCAACAAATGGGACAACAGTTGCCATTTGAAAATGTAAATTAATCCGGGCTGGTGCACAGACTGCAGTTGTACCAGTTTGCCTGTCATGTCTGAGCTGCACACAGATTATTTACCACCTCCTGCATACGGTCACACAAGGCAAACGTGTGAGGTATTGAAAATTCATTATCTGGCCGTCACAGCTTCTCATAGGATTGGAATGCTTAAAGGGGTTTTCTTTGGAAGGTGTACGTGGTCTGTGTCGCCACCTAGTGTGTGAGCGCTGCATGGACGATTTGGTAACTTCTGATGCTTCTTTTCCTCAGAGAACTTACAAACACTATGTGCTGGAGTGCCTGGCCGAATATAGTGTGAAGAAGATGCCATACGCAATCCTACCCAAAGTTTATCCCAGTGGACACAAAAAGGTACTTAACATCTTTACTCATTAATTTCTTTCCAGCTGCCTCACTTCAAAAAAGACAAATGAGCCTAATGTTTCTCTTACACTGAGACAAAGACAAATGATCACGTCATCCTCAGGTGGTGACTCCAGTGGTGTGGAACAAGCCGGACATCGAGAACTCGGTTCCCCTGTGGATCATCATCTTGGCTATTCTGGCTGGTTTGCTGCTTCTGGCTCTTCTTATCTACGTCCTCTACAGGGTCAGTGCTGCTGTGCAACAAAGGATTTTAAAGCGGCGATATGCTCACATCTCTGGGCTCTTTTCGAATTCCAGCGTTCCTAAAAAAGTTTTCGTCTTTTCTTGCAGTTTGGCTTCTTCAAACGATCTCTACCGTATGGCACCGCCATGGAGAAAGCACAGCTCAAACCACAGGCTGCCTCTGAGGCCTAAATGACCCGCAGAGCTAGCAGAACCGCAGTATACCTGGCCATATGATTGCAATGGAGAAACGAGATGGAACATGTAGAAAGCAGTTGAAGAGTTGCGCTAACGAGAGACTACTGGAACTCCACTGTGCTGCACTAGAGGAAGACAAAAATCCAAAGATCTCCAAGCCAAATGAATGTTTTTCTTTATCATTTTTAATTTATGTATTTTTTTTGTTGTTGTTGTTGGCAGGTTGGGATTGTTATCAACTAGAACTTTTCTCAGTGCTTTAAAGACTAACATCAGACTTTACAACAAACAAAAGTGACTGCAAAAGAAGTGCAGGCTATCTTCAGCCTGTGAATGCAGTGAGATACATGTTGGGTTTACTTTTGTAGATTCCTGTGATGGAGAGTTCTGTAATACCCCTTAAACTGCCTTGTATTGGTGCTAATGACAGGATGTGGCCACATGTAGCTTGTGGCTTCCAGGAGCTGTGAATGACACTGCCTGCTGAGGCCTGAAAGTATTCTTCTGATATCTCCTGAACACATGATTTAATTGACAGAAGCTTAGGAGCAGTTTTTAGGTGAATTAACCTGGTGTTAAAGACAGCATTACATGCATGGATAGCAAAATCTGTTTAGTAGCTCAGTTTTTATTGTAGAATTTAGTTGTTTTCTTTTCCAAAAAAGCCCAGACCTGTGCATGCAGGGATGGGCTCCACCACCCTGCAGCCCTGGACAGAAAAAGTGGGTATTGTAAATGCATTGATGGATGTTTCTCAACTGTTCATGAAAATGATCTCTCTCTGCCTCAGGTTGGTGGACTGTGCTGGGTTAAGTTGTTTTTGCACTCAAAGGAAATCTACTGATATTATTCCAAAGACACCAAAGACTGACTGACTGACTGACCTTCCTTTGAGTTCTGAATTTGACTCCTACTGATCACTTTGTTTAAATCCTGTATGTTCGTGCTCAGAGTTACCAATGCTGGCATCGTCGTTGTTGCGTAGTCGACTGGGATGCGACTGGAACCACCACAGACCTGTGACACCTCACGTAAGGCTTGAAGCAGTGTGGTGCTTCTGGCACAATGTGGTGTTCTCCTAAAGAACATTTTTACGTTCTTAACTCCTGCTTGGTCTGGGTTTAGAAGACCACATGCAAAGCAAATGATGCTTAGGGGAAACCACATGGTTACTGGCCATGGTGTAATGATGTCTTGCAGTAAAGACATGACAATCATCGGTGTTGTCGCCTTGACAGAAGGCTGAAAACAGATGGATCCATTTCCAGCTTACAGTGTGTTACTGTGAGATACTGTATTTTAGACTGAATTAAATGTTTGTAGTGAGAAGAGGCCGAAGTCATCCCACAAGCAAAACGCTACAGGGATTGAACATCAAAATGCTTTGTGTTGGTTTCTTTTGTCATGTACATAGGCTTTATTTGCCTTAAATGTAAATACCTAATGTCTGTGGGTTAGAGTTAGGGTTGTGTGCATGTATATTTGAGTGAATGGTATATTTATGAATGTTTGTTTTGTGCATCTCATTGCCTAGTCCTGTTTATGCCGTCACATCTGTAGCTTGAGATAACTGAGGTAAAGCAATTCTGCATTACTATAAAACAAAATAGCATAAATACCTCTAACAAAGGGATAACAGCTAGGCACTGGGATCTAAATGTTGTTTGGAAGTGCAATATTTATATTCACTCTTTTTTTTGTAATATTACAGTGCTTTCTTTTTGTTTTATTTGTGATTGAATTGTGATAAACCAGAACTTTTTTTTGTGTCAAAATATGTGATAAACACATAGATATAATCCTTTGTGGGCTTCTGGCTTTTCACATTTCCTCCACTTCATATGTACTCTCCACTTCACTGCTGGACTACCTTTCTGAACTCACAGATTTTTTTATAGCACAGACTGACACAGAAACACATCCGCCAGAGCGTATCTGAGTTGAACTTGGTATGTTGACATAGTTTGATAATTTATGTGCTCTGCTGCTGCACCTGTCCAAACACCACCGTTATACTAACCATGTGTTTTACATTTGTTTGCATCATTACACACTTTTCATTCATCTGCTCTTATTGGACAGTGATTTACAATTTGTCAGATGCTCCACAAAATCCCTATTTAGTGATTGACCTAAATCCTTTAACACACTGTCTATATGATTTTTTTTTTTGTTTTTGTTTTACTGAACATGTCAACCCATTATTTATAATGACAAGGGTCATTTTACTACTCCCTCCATGGTCACATCAGGAGAAGGCACTGTTATTCTTTCTTTCTTTTCTTTTTCTTTCTTTTCTTTTCTTTTTTTCTTTTTTTTAACACGTCTTAGCCCATTTTCACTCTCCAGGACGTTAAAAAAGATGTTGTACATATTTATGACAAGGAGAGTATTGAATTCAAATGATTTGTCGTGAAATTTCTCACCCCATATTGGGGAGACCTTTTGTGTCAGGTGGAGAGGGGCTCCTTAAAGGTCAAATCTTACCTGTTACAGTTTGTACTTTAAATAAAATATTTTTCTTTTTACAAACTTGTGCTTTCATTGACTACACATAACTGGGAAAATAATTTATTTAGAAAAAAACGTTGTATGAAATTATATGCATGTCAGTTAGTGGCCTTGCTGCCAAAAATGATCTGATATAATACATTAGTTTTAATGTGAAACACTCGTGCACAAAAAACTGACCTAAAGTGATAAGTTGTGATACAGATGTGTAGTATGTGTTCTTATGGCCCTTTTGTGGAACCACTGTTGTGATTCTTCTACAGACAGGAGTATAGGATATGTAATGGGTCATTTCATCTCAAATCATCAGAGTTCTTCTGCTTGACCGTCTGTGATTTGCTTGAAGCATTTTTAAATCACAAACTATGGAAATATAACTTAACATAACTTAAAATGGTATCTGTGAAATTTCTGATTGATATATCAAGTACTTTCCAAAATACGGTTTTCTTTAAATTGCCCATTGACCCACCTTGAGCAAGTTTAATACTAAGCAACAATTAATTGAGCTAAATATGTGATGTTCAAAGTGACTGAAAATGACGCTATATGCACGTATTCAAAAATGATTTTCTTACTTGTATTTGAAGAACCAAATTAAAACTCCTAAAGTCTGTTCTATGTATATCTAAAAACACATTTGTGTTTTGTGGTACAACTTGCCTAACCTGCTCAATAGGTTATGAAAGTTAAAAGAAAATAACTTTGCTTTTGAGACCAAGTATTTCATATTAAAAAATTTCAATATGTTTTGTTTTATATTACTGCCAAATGCAGCTACATCTGATTAAGAAGATACCACGAGTTGACTTCTGCATGATTGTTTTTATGGGAATATTTGCTCATAGATGGAATTCTCATGAGGGTTTCAATATTTTCCATATCTGATGTACTTAATTTCTGCATCAGTGGCATGATGAGGAATACCTAAAAATTGCTGAAAGTGGGTCAATAGACAATCAAAAAAATATATTTTGGAAAATGTTTTGCTACATCGGGCAAAAATTTTACAAGCACTTTTATAAATCAAAGGCGGTCGAGCAGCAATTGTTCTAAAGATCTGCTGGTTTGAGATGAATGAACCTTGTATATGATGAATTTTGACATTAAAGTGAGATGCTGTACATGTTGTAACATTGCCTTTTTAAGGGGATCTCTATGAATGTTTTCACACCAGTGTGACGTAAGGCTTGTTATATAAAAATTGTCCAACAAGTCCCATAGACACAGAAGCAAATTCTCTGGATCAGCACTGGAGGTCATTACTGTGCACACTGCACATCTTCACTCACGGCGCTGTGCGGTGCAGAAAGCATCTCTGCGAATGTTCAAGCTCCTTCAATAACAGTAAATTTCCATGACATTCATCACCTCCAGAAGCCCATCTTGTTCATGCGAGAGTGGAAATTTTGTTCATCCAGCTACAGTCCATCTTCTGTTTCAAATGTTGCTACAGTTTTGCAGTCTTTGTACAGTTGCAGGTCGATGTCCTAGCATTCAATTGTTCTTGATAGCTGCGTTAGCTTGCGCTGGTTGTCCATCACCTTCAGGTTTTGAATGTAGTGTCGGATGTTGCTGGGAGTCCGCAGAGGGAGAGCGTGGTCTGAGTCTGGAGGACAGGGAGGAAATCGTGTTTGACTCAACATACATTAGGGTTTGTAGTGAAAAATTAGACATGGTGAAATGGTAATAAGGCTTTGGAGATCATATGTATCAGGATTAAACTGAACTTGCTATAGGCATTTTGCAGAAAAACGAATTACTCAAGAACCTTGCTGTTAGGGCGTACACTGGATACAGCAGTTAATGATACTGTAGATGTAGCTTACATGTAGATATGCGAGTAGCAGGCCCTTCCAGAAACATCCGATCAGCCAGACCCCTCTGTGGAGATGAAGGCACTGCAGAGGAGACAAAGGAGTTTATACCTGACATGTATATACATATATATGGCACAAGCCTGACATTATTATTTACTTTAACACGCATTTGCGATTTTTTGACGTCCCCCCCGATGCATAGTGTCCCACCTACAACCTTAGATGGATCACTTACCATATGGTTGGCTTCTGCATCCTCGTACAATTTTCACCGTCTTCGCAAGCATTCGCTGTGACAAAGAGAAAGAAATTCAACTCCATACCTTACTTAGGACATGATTTTTTGAGGAGAATAATCAAGGCAGTCTTACCATCTTCTCAAAATTGACCAGTTTGTCTACATAGTTTGGGTTTCCCTCATGGATGAACGTCATGTCTGGGTAAAGTCAGGTACAGCTCAGTTAGTAGATAATTTAGTCAAAGAGGTCTACTTTTTTTTTTTTTTTTTGGTTGACTGCTGATATCTGTTACCTTTAAGCAGCAGTGGCATGAAGGGGATGTAAGGAGGACCCAGTTTAGCCACAGCCAATCTGTAGGCCCTGTGGTTGCGTGAGGGATCCTACAGAACCAGAGAAAACAGCATTTCCAGGTTAGGTTACCACACAAAATAAACAGTAGATGAAATGCCTTTCGGTGGTAAGAAGTACCAAACGTATTATGCAGAATATTATACTCAGAGTTTGGGAGCATTTGAAAGTAGAGAACATAGTGCAACGTACCATCAATCTCTCATAAGCACAGTAAATTCTTTTTGTCTTGCTGGGTATTCTCTGCAACAAGTGAAAAGTTGCACAAGTTATTTCCAAAATATGTGTTCAGCAAATTTGACATAACATTCATTATTGCCGTGACAGTTGCTTTCAGCGGTTTCTTACCTCCCAGGTCTTGTAAAGCCTCTGCACTGCACTGTTGCTTAACCCAAACATCACAGCGAAAAATGAGTTGAGATTCTTCTGCTCCTTTAATCTGTGACAGAGTGGACACATGGCCGTGAACAACTGGGTTCCAGACTGACACGGTGCTGTATTTAAAGTAAAGTTGGAAGGTGTGGGGTTCAAGAATTGTTCTGTGAGGTTCTGTGAGCTAAATGCTAATGGCAGCATGCTCACATTACATCATAATCTGCAGGATAGTAATGTATACCAATGAGTCATTTTAGTCATACTATCATGCACATTTGCTAACTGATGCTAAACACCATGCATTGTTAAGGAGATGTGAATGTCTTTAATTTACTGAACCAAAAAAATGGACATGGTATTAATATCAAGAAAAATCAAAAGCTTATTAAAGTAATTGCAGTTAACCCTGTGGAGAAGACAAATGTCTGTACCAAATCTGATGACAATTCTTGTTGAGACATGTCATGTAAAAAAAAACAAACAAAAACAATGTCCACTTTATGGTGGTGCAAGAAGAAAAGTCAAGGTCATTACAATTCATTATGTCAGTGCCAATTAATGTGAGGTATTTTATTGAATAAGTAAAATCTATGACCTGCTAGAAAAAAAGTCAAGGGATCACCAAGATCACAAAATTTCATGGCATCCCATCTTGTAGCTGTTAAGATAGTTCTTTCAAGGTAGTACTGATGTGACTGACCTTCATTTAAGTTACATTTCATGTGTTTAACTCTTACACTGAAGCAATCTTGATGAACTTCTTGAGCAGAATGGCCCGTTTCACAAGGTCTTCACAGAGACACAGCTCAGTCACCACCCAGTACTGCACCTCATTGAAGCGACGCACAAACCGCTCCAGGTTGGCTGTGATCGCACCTGGGAATTTATGACGCCCGAATATGTAGTAGACCAGCTCCACCTGGAGAGACAGGGACAATAACTCACAACCACTGACATGATGTGGGGAGAAAAAAATCTGGAAATCAAAGAGCAGAAAGATTTTACAGGTGACCTGACGGTGGACTTGTTTCAGAAACATGTGACGCATGTAGGAAGTGGTTAAGATTATCTGATGGCGAAGATAGTTCTGTCAGATAAAAAGTGCCAAGGTGCGTGACTCATACATTTTTATGAAAGAGATATCCTGTTCTTTGTTTTAAGAGTGCTAGTTTCGGCTTTTACATTTCCTTGTAAAGACAGACAACTGGAACTTATCCTTGATGAGGTATTTTAATGTGTAAACAAGCAGCCCTTTGTTGTCCAGCAATATGCCGTGGTCAGATGTAAAGTAAATGCTGAGTTACCTCATGCATGGCAGTGAACAGTTCCCAGTCATAATTAGTGAGTTCATTGGCAATGTCTTTGGAGCTCATCTGCTCGAGGATGTCAGTTGTTCCTCGCTCTGGGCCCTGCTGCTCCTTCAGCGGCACCTGGAAGAAAGAAAGGGGGATTAACAGAGAGAGAGAGAAAATGAGCAGGGAGCAGATGTTGGGGTGTGCATTTGACAGCTTTCCTTATGGGCAGGGAAGCTGCTTGGAACGGAACCACTGTGTCAAACTGTAGGCACCATAATAAATAATAAACATAATGAGAATATGTCTCAGGGTGTTAAATATTCTCTTTTTCATTGTGTAGAAAAATAAACAAAAAATGGTATAAAAGGTATGGAAGGCGCCTTTTCCTCACCAGTTGTTCCACTTGGCTGCTTGTGCAGATGAACAGCCTCTCGTTGAGTCCCAGAGCGGTGTAGACTGCAGCAGCATCCAGCTTTAACTGAGCTCTTTCTGTGTGTATTTACAGGGATATATCAAAAACTCACTCAGCAATATGAACAGACAAAGAGCAGGATTGCATCATAAAAACTCAACCAAATCTAAAAAAAGTTCCTATCCGACCCCCTCAGAATCAGCAGATTTTCCATGTGAATTAACTTTAATACATTTTGTGAAACTACGCACAATTTTACCTTCACACTATTAACATTTTGTGAGTTTAGGTCCTTGAAGTGCATAGGGGTGGGTTGAAATTTCTGTTTTTTACTTCACATTAATTTTCCCAGCATTTTTCAGCCCTCATAAGTACAGGAGACGAAATGCACATCTGAGCCCTGTTAAAAACTGCACCCATATCGACTTCACATCCACTCCAGCTGTCTCAATCTAAGGCCAACATCTTGTTTTTGTTTAGCATGTTTTCTACAATCAACTCTGAGCATCAATATGTTGAGATGTATCTCAGTTTCAGTAGCAAAACTGCACCTTTTGATTGTCTTTGACAAACAGCAATAGAAACAAGCATTGGTACTGTGGATGTGTTATGTGTTTTCTGATAATTTAATGGAGTAAACTTTGGAGTAAAGTGCATTTTGGGTAAACATGCAAGGCTCATATCACCATGTGGGGCAGGTGGTTGGTCAAAACCTTTTATAGCATATAAAAGGTTTCTTTTTTATCTATACTCATCTTCCAGCCATGATCTCTTCTGTGGTAAAACATTTTTCTAACATTGGCATAATATAGGCATAAGTGCAAAATTTTGACCCACTTCTTTGTACTTCAAGAGCTTATAACTCTTAAAATATTAATAGGATTCAGGCGGGAGGCACTGATTGCTTTTTCACAGAATGACCCAGCAGTAGAAAATGTATAAGCCTGACTTCGGCTCGGTGAGAAACTGAATTAATAATTATCTCTGAATGCTTTATTCTAGCAATTTTATCGGACAGTTTGAATGAAAAATCTGCTGAGTACATTTAGAAAATGACTATGAGTCCCACCTCCTGTGGAGTTCATTTTGACCAGGACGTGATCACCACCAGGTTTGACAATTGCTGCCATTACATCTTGTACAGATGTGTTCACTGGGAGCATCAGGGTGAGGGGTTTGTTGTCTGGTCTGTAGATCTCATACAGCACTGTGTCAAGAAGGACAGAAGACAAATTGTCAAGATATGCTGATTTGATGATTGATAACATGAGTAATAATCTTACTCATAAATGGCATCCAAAGATGGTGAACATGAGCGAATGTTGTAAAATGTTCTTGTGATAGAGATTCAAAGACATGCTAAATCAACAATTTGAGTGATTTATTAGATGGGCCAGTTTTAGTGCCTGACACTCACCTTTATCCTGCGCTCTGATTGGCTGTAACCTCCCCACTGGCTCCTCACAGTTTGCAAACCAATCAAACGGCTGGTTCTATCAATAACATCAGAGTGACTCAGCAAGCCAGTGACATTAAAATGACAAATGACAGCAGAATGACATTTAAACCGCCATCTCAAAACAGTTCCCTGCAAAAGCAACAACTATGAGATGCTTACCCTGCTCATTGACTGATACCCATTCTCCAACCTGTCAAGGCATAAAAAGGTGACAAACAGTGTTAGTTGGAATGCCACAATATTTATAACTTGATAATTGTGTAGAAATAGCAAATGTTATCAGATAACACTTACACTTTTGTTCTCCTCCTTTCCCTGAATTGTTCTTTCAGCATGCTGGACAGACGGTAATCAGCTGCCACCTCCTTCTTTAGCCTCTGTTTCAGCCCCAACAATTAAAATTAAACAGGTTGAATGTAATCATTGATTCCGCTCATAAATTAAATCAATAATCAAAACATTTTGATACACAAAGCACAGGGTGCAATCTGACCTCCAAAAAGTCCAAAGCAATAGAGTCCTCCTTCAGAAGAAGGCCAAACAGTGCCACCCACTGACCAATCAGCTTCACTACTTTCTGCTTGATGTTGAGGATATAGGCAGCCTTCTCCTGCTCTGAACCCTCAGAGAGCTCTGCCTGGTAAGTGCAAGAACGGTTAAGGATATAACATACATATCTTTACAAAGAAACTGTTAGCTAACAAAGACCACTGCATAATACATGTGAAGTAGTTTATTAATTGGCAGGATGTTGGGGAACTGGAGGGGTGAAAGAGGCCAAGGGATGAAAGAGATTAAATACGACTACTTATAACTTTATATGTATAGCACCTTCAGAAAACAAAGTTATTAAGTGCTTCAATAAAATAAGTAAGATCCCAAATTAATATTAGCAAGTTAAGTAACGTCAACATTTCTGATGTAACTGCTTCCCAGTGGGGGGAAAAAAAAAGAGATTTCGATTGGCGTTACAAAATGTACCTAACAAAGGTAAACTGTGAGGTTAAGACCCTACAGTGTTATTTATGATGTGATTTTACGCAAATGTTCTACACAATATAGATTTAAACCCTACAAAAATGATCTAAAATACCACTTTACCTGACTATAATGCATATTAAGGTTGAGCTCCTGCAGTTTTAATAATTATGGAGAATAACCTCACCAATGTAACAATATAGCTCAGACAGCATAGTATTATACATTCTGGAACATAACCAAACCATTATAAATTTAAGGCTAAGACTCTGCAGCATTATCAATTAGGGATTAACCTGACTAGTTTATAGCTAAAGTGTTGACCCCCATAAAAATACACATGAAAGCCAACAAATCCAAGGAAGTTTTTTTTTTTCTTAAAGGGGATGGAATATGAGGAGTCAAGGGGGATAGAGGAAGGGGGTGAATGTGAAGATGGAAGAAGGTCTTCATGGGTGGAGGAACCCTGGGAGCGAGATTGTTGACCCCCTGGTTCCTTTAACAAAAGAGGGAAGAGGACACAAAGGAAAAGAGCTTTGGGGAGGAAGACATTTGAGGCCTGAGATAAATGGAGAGCGAGGAGTTGGACACGCTGATAAGGATGGGTATGGGAAACTGTTCTTGAATCTAAGTTGTGATAATTAATCAATTCTAAGACAGAATAAAACTACATTGTAATCATTCTTTTTTTTTTTTTTTAAACAGCAAACATCATAATTACAAGGAGTGTTGTCCTTATTGTATCACCATCACTGTTATCAGTACTAATAACCATCACAGGATATTGCTGCTGTAGTGCAGGACACAGCTGACTGGAGGGCATGAAGACTTTGTGGGTGAGCAGGAAGTCACTCACACAGGGATCTGCAGGAGGACAAACACCACAACAACACACAACTCACTTACTAGCTGTTTAGGTCTGTGCATCCTGAATAATTTACAAGTAAACAGGGAAAGGATAAGAACTTGTTTGCGGACTCCCACCTATTGCATCGTTTCCATTTGAGTCCAGCTTTATTGTTTCCAGTAGGTGTTCCAGGATTTTCTCAGGTGTTCCAGACATAACTGTGTACCTGTGCAGAGCATGACAAGAAGATGGAGATTTTTCACAACTTTGCATAAGCATTTAGCTACACTGTCTTCTACACTGTATTCACCCACAAACAGTATATTAACTTGGAAACCATTTTAAGGGTTCAATATCTCCAGTAATATAACTCCCACAGCTACTATACTTGGTGAGGACACAGGCGGAATTGATTTCAGCAGATACAGGTGATTAAATGGCTTCAGCAAAGGCCATATTTTTTAATTATAGGCCCCTTTTCTGGAGACATTGAACCTTTAAATGGCTTCAAGTTAAGGATGAAAAAATCTAAATTGCCTGCTCTTAAAACATATGAAACTCTATGAATCCAGCCAGAAATATTTCACAGAGCTTAGGTTTTACTTAGGTTAACAACTGAGTAAATCTGAGACAGTGCAGCAACACATTTTGTGAATTTTGTCTGAATTGACCCAATTAGGTCTCTGATAATGTGTTATGATGTTTTTATTTCTAATAAGAATAATTATGTTCATATCATAAAGGGTGACGATGCAACATCGGTCCAACTACTACAGATTTACAAAACTAAGTCTACAGCTTTGCTTGTGGTTCTGTCGGCAATTGTGAAACGTTACTAAGCACATTTAATCGAATAACATACTTGGGTATTAAGCTACTTTCCACTCCAGCTTTGGTTATTAGTTACTTCTAAAGATTTTGCACAATGGATACTACAAGCTTTTTAAAAAAAATAAAATAAAAAAACAACAAAACAACACAAATAGTGATTTTTAGTATATTAGCATGCTAACAATTGCTAATTAGCGCGAAAAGCAGCTAGCATGCACTACTAAACAATAATTGAATAAATACATGATTAGAACTGTCACACTACATGTACTTGTGTATTGGTTTGCGTCGGTGTTGACTAATACTGTCACCAGAAAAGAAGAAGCGGAAAAAGACCCTTGACGTAATCATTGAATAGTTTGTCCACCAGCAAACTGTGTTTACAACACTTGGCAGGTTGGGAGTGGTATATATCAAAGCTGAGTGGACAACAATATTCTGTCTGTTTAGGCTCCTAAGTTTATGGTTCTTCTTTACAATGTCTTGCCTTCTAGCACCTAATGTATCTATATCACAACTCCTTTATGAGAACATTTGAGGGCTCCTTGTCTGGTGCCACTGGGCCCAAAAATGTACCACTGATGGGGTTTTTTTTAGACCATAAATCTTGCTTTTTAACAAGAGAAGATAGTTCGATGTGTGTGTGTCGATGTGCAAGTAAAGGGAGAAGCTGAGGAAAACTGATTAAGCATGACGTAAACGAGAGGTAAAACATCAACTTAATTCATGTTTGCTAAAATGCTTCAAGACTGATAACAAGTCATTCAACAAGGCCGGGTTAAAGTCCATTCCATTCCTGAATGTCAGACAACACTTCATTAATAAGACCTTACCCACATCTGACAGAAAGATTTGTTTCTAACAGTGTCCCTCTTTGTGTTGTGATAATAGCAGTGTTTTGTCTTTTTTTCATGGCACCGTATCTGGCCACACTCAGGTGAAATGTCTTAATGATTGTCAAACTGCTTGTTGAGGTGAGTTGCGTCCAAGTTTCTCACTTGCTGTTGTTTCCTGCTCCTCCTTGCCCAGCCGAGTCTGCGCTCTTCTCCAGCACCAGCACAGTCTTCCCATGCTCCTCCAGTCGCACTGTATTAGCCTCCACATCCTAAAGGACAGGCATGGATGTGTTAAAAGACATTTTAGTATAGTTCTGGTTTTCACTTGGTGGACATACAGCTCTTAAAATGACAAATAGCCTCATGCACACATCAACACTTACATACAGACTCCTGACGTCTGACAAGGAAGGCATGATGGTACATATGTAGTAATGAGTTAATCAGAAGACAAACCTTGAGGATCCGTATGAAGTCCTGTTTATCAACACGGAGGAAATGGCAGTTGTCCTCCCTCAAGATGATGGTGGCAGCCCGGGGTGCATCATTCAGCAAAGCTAGCTGCCCAAAGTCCTCACCCTCATGTAGTGTTGTTACCAGGCCCTGTGTACACAGTACTTCCAGCAATAAATTACAACTGCAGTGAATTACTTAGCATTTTATCAGCAACAATTAGAGAGATTTATTTGTTTATTGGAACTGGTGTATAGATTTACCTTTCCATGTGTAATCACATTTACAGAGCCTTTCCAGATGATGTACCAGGAGGTGCCCTTATCTCCCTGACTGAACACTACATCACAAAAAAGAAAAACATTTCCATCATGATGGGAGTGCTCTGTTCCAGGATGAAAATGCCACCCATTAAAATGTTGTCAATCATGTGCTATGGCTTTAGCAGTCACCAGATCTCCGCTTAGCTGAACACCTATGGGAGATTTTGCACCGATATGTGACGGCGCTTTCAGCCACCATAATCAAAACACCAAATGAGGGAATATCTTTTGGAAGAATAGTGTTGCTTCAGTAGAGTTCCAGTGACTTGGAGAATATATGCCAAGGTGCGCTGAAGCTGTTTTGGCAGCACGTGATGGCTCAGCACCTGACTAAGACGCTTGATGGTGGTTTTTCCTTTAATTTGTCACCTATCCGTATGTACAACTTCCATGTTCCAAATCAAATCAAAACAGTGACTGCTGGACATAATATACCATAAGAAAGGTGTGCTGTGCTGAGAAACATGTTGAAAGTGCATTTTTGCAAATCCAGAAAGAAAATGCCTGTTGTGGACTTTAGCGTGGTTCAGTCTACACAGCAAAAGTGTGTGTGTGTGTCTGTGTGTGTGTGTGTGTGTGTGTGTGTGTGTGTGTGTGTCTGGTAAGACTCCACCAGGCTCAAACGTCAGCAAAACTGTCACACTCACAGACTGTTCCGGCCTTGGCATGTGATTCAAAGACCAGCACTGCTGCCAGCTCCTTGCGTACCTACAGGCAAAACAGGACAAGAAATAAGACTGAACTGCATTGATAACTTTTTATATATGTGGTTGTTTTTAAGTATTTTAAGAATCACAGGCAAACAGATGCAAGGTTTGGTTGCTTTTCTGGTGATACAAATGGATTCTTTTAACAAAAATAAACAAGAATTTTTTTATGTTTCAGATGCATGGCTTAATTTCTTTCACTTACTTTCAATATTTCTTTCACAGCATAAAATGGCAAGATTTTTTACGGCTAATTCTTTATATGTAAGGAGGACTTAAAATGGAGCTCTTGTATCAGAGATCATTGGCAAAAGAATCTTGAACTACAGGACTGTATTTTTTGAAAAAGGTGTGCCATCTAAATCATTTAAAAGGTGCTACTGTCACAAATTGCTATGTAGAGGCTTTATTGATGTCAGGAGAAGGCAGTGATGGTGACTCACAGAAGTGGAGAGGTGAGCAGCAGCCTTGACATGGAGCAGCTCCTCGTAGATGACCTCCAGGTCCTCAGCACTCCTCTGACTTGGGCTGAATACAAGAAAAGTTGAGACAAAGGGTGAAACCAGCCACACAAACAGCTGGTTTCTTTAAATTGTTGTATGAACCTTATGGGGTTGTTATACGTAAGAAATATGAAAAGATTAATCCTACTGCTACATACACAACAGGTTTTAATGAGTAATACTTCTGTAACCACTAACATACTGACCCTTTGCGCAGAATCATTGTGAGCAGAGCATCTGGACCGAGCTGAGACAGCAGAGACAAACCCTCCTGGAGCTCGTCCTCCGACTCCCTCTCGTTTGTTATGTGGTTCAGGCCAAACTCAGAGTCCTGGAAGCGGTAGAACTGGGTGTCCTTGTCAAGGAAGTTCAGCTCGTGTTTCACTTGATTTACACAGAAGAGAAAAATGACAGATTTGAATGTAAGAATGTGGAGATAGAGTGATTACACAAAACTAAGTTAGGCTATTTAACTAAAAGATACATGTATTAGTTTTAGAAACTAATAAACTAAGTAAATGAGTAACTTTGACCTTTTGAAGAATTTCGTTTCCATGTAAGAGCTTTTTTAAAATCCACACTGAGCAGATACATGGAAATAAGTGCAAATGCTTTCTGAGTGATTCCCTTCATTTGACGTTGAAGTATTTCTGGCCTGATTGGAGTGGTCTCTTCCAGGAAGACAGTGTCTCGTCCAAACAGCATAAGTGCTTAGTGAACACTCGACCGAGTCAGAACACATTGTAAAACATATGCCATAACAGACTCAGTCACCAGATTTCAAGCTATTCCAGCACTTCTGGGAAATGCTTGAGTGCTGCCGAAGACATTATCATCAGAATATATTATAAATTCTAAATATGACATGATTTATTGATGGAACTATTCCACATTCTTCATCTGAAACAGGATAACTGGTATGTTAATGTGTCCTTTAGTCTGGCTGTTGGCCAAAAGACACAGTTCTTCAGAATTTTGCTCTTCACTCCTTACCATGAACAAGGATTCCTTCATCCACCAAAACCTGCCACATTCCAACTGCCTGACTTCTGGATTGGAGACATTCGTTTTGTTTCATCAGCCAGTCAACGAGATCCTTACCAGAGCAACATTGTCTGTGAGAGAAATTTAACAAATCAGTTTGCACGTGTTTAGCAGACAAGACAGGAGGACATTACTCTACCAGTGTAGGTACCTGTATGTTTTGAGGTGATACTTTCTATCTCGGATCAGACCAGGGTTCCTCTCGATCATGACGCTATATACCGATCTTGCTGCCTTCACAACACGATCTGAAAGAAACTGGATAAACATATAAAAAAGTTAAACAGATAAACCAGTGGCGTCTTTCTTTCAGATGCACGTGTTGTGTTGTGTTGTGTTGTGTTCCCTTTGATGAGGCAATTAAATCAGCTTCTGCCCCAGAGCCGCAAGAGAACTGAACTCCGCCAAGCACTGACACCAGCTGTCTGGACTTGAGTTATTATCAGCACTACAGTCACTGTTCCAGTTACATTTACAGAATATGTACAGTATATATCCATACATCTATCCATCCATCCATTATCTATACACCGCTCCTCACTAGGGTCACGGGGGGGACAGGGAGAACATGCAAACTCCACGTAGAAAGATCCTGGGCATCCTAACCGGGGATCTTCTAGCTGCGAGGTAATGTATGTATGTGAACCTTATATTTACATACTGAGCCTTTACATGCAAATGTGTAAATGTGCAACATCAGTTAAAAAACTACTGTTTTTAAAGTGTTCCTAATACAACAAATACGACATAATAAATGATAACAAAAGGCACCTCACTGTTTTCATATGTTAAACGTAAAATATTTTTCCTCTATATTTTTTAAACTGCTGTCTAATTGTGTGAATGCATGAACAGAATTGCTTCTTAATTTCGTTGTACACTGTGCACTGACAATAAAGAAAATCTCTTCTGGTCTATTCTAGGGTATGTAGCACAGATGGTCGTGTTTACTGAAACAGCTAACTTCTGTGATGGCGACAAACAGAAGTTAGTGAAAGAAACAAACGTTCAAACAAATGTTTGTGTGTAAAGTGAAGAGGAGGGAGACAGTTTTCATTGCATTTAACCTCAGTGTGGCGATTGCATGTGATGGCACCGTTGGTGTGTACGTCAGCAGCGTGAGTGGAGGTTTATGTAGGCGTCGGAATTTAATGCTGTGTGTGTGTGTGTGGGTTTGTGGGGAGGTGAGAACGTGTTAAAAATGGCTCTCCCACACCTCCCAGGCTCTACAGCTAACTCTCCAGCTGGCACGCAGCAACAACAAACTTTCACTTTCTGGCCACCCTCAACGTATTTCCTTTGAACCTTTCTTGATTCTTTCCCCACTCATTCTCAGCCCCAGACACACGCACACACACACACACACACACACACACGTTCAGAGTTAGGTTTCCATCACTTCAGAGGACATGACACTGACGTAGATTAATTTCTAGTGACTTACCCTAAACCTAAATGTAGCCTAACCATTGCCTTATGCTGCATTAGGACATTCCCTTACTTTAATTCAGCAATTAATGCAATGCATTTTGTTTCCAAATTTGAGGCGATTGTGCCTGTTATGTCCCTACAACATGAGTAACACAAGCCCACATGCACACAACTCACTGAGGTCAGGTTTAAAGCACAAAAAAAACAAAAAAAGTGTGCAGACAGTGGAGCAAAACCCTGTCAGCCACTGATGCAGAAGCAAAGCTTATGTAACAAGAATGTGCTTTGTTTGTGGCAGTAATGCGGTGGTCCCATTTTAGGCCTTTTCACGCTTGATTCTCTGCTTGCATTTCAAAAACAATTTGGATTAAACTGCCACCCAACAATATTCACTGTCTTAATGACTGGCAGCAGCAGCAGCAGTAGTAACTTTGCTCCTCCCTGTTCGACTCCCCCACAAACGCCTCCTGCATGTCTTGTGATCACACGAGTGACTCAGACGACTGTTTGTGCTTTGAATTTTCCTCAAGATGCTGTTTTTTTTGCCCAAGGTGGTAGTCTTGGGATACACTTAGAACCAAACAATGACCACTTCCTGTTAGCTTTGATGATAAGTGGAGTTTAAGGATGTCAGCGACAGAAACCAAACACTTTGAACTCTTTGGTCTTTTGCAACTCCCTCAGGATGTAGAAATGCATTCTGAAACTTTTCTCCTGAACCCATGGCTTGACGATGCCAAAGCCTGGGTAGAAGTCATAACAAATGCTTGTAAGAGTCACATTTACACTGGGATGCTAATACTAATGCACAACTACAGATGACAACTCTGGGTAACACTGTACAGTAACACACTTCAACCTATCTTCCCCACATTGGCCTTTTCCCAGACCTGACATCAGTGGAGTAAATGTGGCCTGAGGCGTCTGCTGTGCCCTGCTGGAGTTATGCTGTCTAGAGGTCACCAGTATTCCCAGGGGCCCATTTTCCCTTGGGACTCCCATAGACACATTCTCAGGGATGTCAGCTCCAAAACCTATTTTCTTGATCAGGCAGTTTTCCATTACCTAAGCCAGTTCTTACAAAAACAATATCAGATGCCATATTTCAACTGAGAGGCCAACCCCTTGCTGCTAAACCGGACAATCATGTAAACATGCAGAAAATGGAGTAACGTGGAAAATGTCTGCAGCTCACTCGGCTGCAGGCTGCCCTGTGGTGGACCGTGTGTTGTAGATTGTCTCCATGTAGGGTATCTAATCAGGTTATCTAGGAACTATAATCCACAGGTGAGAGTTCCAAGTGAGTCAAATTACAGAGCAAACATGTTTCTCACAGGTGCGCCAGTCAATGACACGAAGTACAGCAGGCTACAATACACACTCAGCCAGTGTGTAGCAACAAACACTGATGTATGGGCCATCTGTAAGGTTTGGAAAGGCAGCTATAACCTGTTTTATGACTGGGGTCCGTTCTGCTGTTGAGCTCATTTTACAGTCAAGATCCTATATTTGAAAAGTGTCTTATGATGTCAGATGTAAAGTAAAATACTCAACTTCATATTGGTGTACACTAAAATTGTCAAACATATATAATCTTTATCTATGGTCCTAAATTACTATACATCATGTTTGCTGGGAAAAAGCTGGAGCAGCTGTTCTGTAGTTGCTCAAACACTGTTCGGCAGGACAGATGCCTCAGCACAGTTATTCGCTTGAAAGAGGGTTGACTTCATTGCATCACTTTTGAATGATCTTTTCTGTCTTATCCACTTTAACTTCAATTTGATCCTGGATGAAACTGCTTTTAAAGTGTATAGTAATTTCATGCCTTTTTCTTCTTGGGTGGAATGATGATGAGCACCGTTATTCACCGTGTGTCTCCTCTGTAGGCGAGACATTTCTCTGTTTTTTTACTCTCTTTGTGACCTTGGTGGGCTGTGGTTGTATAAGAAGCAGCTTAATGCAGCTCTATGGACTGACTTTTTCCCCCCTCTCGCTATAACACAAAACCACACTTCTGAGGGCAGCACCTCCATCCTGCAACGCACCACGAGAGAGGGGAAATTTCCAGGCCTCTGATAAGGTCTTTTGGCATCAAACTTTGAAAGCCTTCAAGTTGTATCAGAACAAAACTTTGTGTGAACTTATGTTGCGTGCATGGGGAAATTGCATAAACAATCTTACAGTACACAACCTACAGTGTGTATCCAACCTATAGCCACATCAGGCAAAGGCAAGTGAAAAGTAGGGGATATGGTTTACAAACAGAAAGTATGAACATTTTAGAATTTAGTTTGTACCTTTAAAAAAATCAAAATAAACGTGATCAATACCAGTAACCATTAAAAAACTTCTGTTTCAATGTGTAATTCTACTTTGCTGTACTTACTTACAGTAGCTTATTAAAAACAGTCTATCTTGTATAGTGCTATCATAATGTATGCTGCTCATTAGTGACTTTTAGGACGAGGAGCCAACACTTGCTGAGCAACTGCACAAAGCTCCAAGAGTTTAGCAACACCTGCCTCCTGCAGACTCAGTCACTCCAATCCCCCATCGTGTCTCCAGCACAAAAAAAAAAAAAAATCACAGGCATTGATTATTTGGGAGTTAAAAAGTTACTCTTTCTCTCTTACTCTCTTACTCTGCTGTCAGAGGGAGACCACTGAACCTAAACAGGAGACACTTTCCATGTCAAACCATGTTATCAGCGTTTTAAAAGTTCTCTCCTTGGCATGCCGCTGAAGACGCTGAGATAAAGCAGCACAAGGGGCCCGGACTGGGTGAGGTAGGGCTCAGGAGGGTGGGGAGGGTCAATTAACTGTGGGCCTTGAAGTGCCCTTTAAACTCCTTATGACTGCCTGCTCCTGCTAGGAATGTGTTTTTTAAGACTCGCTTGAGTAGTAATGCAGGATATTATAACAACAAATGAACAAGTTCAGCAGTTTGAAAGGATGCAAGCGCTGCAACTTTAGATAATGACAGAGGTCAGTAAAGCTTGAAGCCACCAGGAAAGCGAAAACTTCCAAAGGCTGTGCCAACCAGCATTAATGTGTGGTCACACTGACAGAGCGACGTGTTGAGAAGCCTGATCGCTGCTTACAAACCGGATTCTGCATTTTTGCGGAGTTTTCAAGTAAGCACAGTACAGCAGACGCTTGCTTTAGACATAAAGCTTTAAAAGTTTTTCCTCTGACATTGTGGCTCTCCTTATGTTCGGTGAGAGTTTAAAAACACCAGGGAGAACATTGGATTACATTTGGCTGTGGGGAGGTGATGTACCAAAGCATTTCTGGCATACACACCTGCTTCATCGTGTCCTTTGAATTCAGGGCCTCTGGCAGCGGAGTCTAGAAGAAATAGAGAGAGAGAGAGACTTTATTCCCACTGAGCAATTTTTCCATATCAAAAACCTCCGAAATAAAGCAGATAAACTTCTTTGGAACTGGATTCCACAGGAACTAGCTGAATCGGTCGATGATGACAATCTTGCATTGGTTGCACCAAATAGACAGATAAAAACCAAGCTGGACTGTCTAGATAGGAAGAATAGTTATTTTCTTTTTATTGGGATGAAGGTCAAAACAAATACATTATCTAAACCTGTGATGTGTTACCATTGTCTCCACCATGGTGTGGGCGGGCATCAAGTGAGTGTAATGAAGTGGGTGGAAAGAGTACATGGAAAGTACATGGCCTGTTGCCTCGCATTTTGTTAAGTGAAACAGTTGCTCTGAACTACGAACTATCCTTTCTTGTGAAAAGGCTTTTGAAAATCCCAACCATTTAAAGAAAATATGTACTGCAGCTGCAACAGACATATACTATTAGATTAATAACACATGTTTCCTGGAGACCTGGAGACTTGTACTCACTGTACATACTAACAGTCAGATCACCCATAACTTGAACCTGCTACCATGTACAAATATTCAGCATTCCTATGTCTGCACTTTGGCCATAGTTTGGACTTCCTCTTTATTGCTTGGTTTATATGTTTTTATGACCATCATTTAGCTACTGTTGTGTTCCTGCATTCCCAAGATAAGCGCTTTCAGGGAATTTAATTTATAGACCCATAAAGGTCTTTTTCAAGGCAGTTATTATGATTAAATATTTCTCACCAGATCCGGCAGATTATGAATACTTAGCGCTGCGTCTGGGCTCCCAGAAATGAAGGAAAACTGATTTATAGACACCACATTTCAATTTTCCTCACATTTCTCATGCTGCAAGGATAACACTTTTACTAGATGATTTATGGGCACCAGTATAACACATGAGTTTCTGTTTTTGTGCTGTTCTGGTGGATTGCATGAGCTGCTTGAAAAAAAATCTAAAATATGCAGAGTAATCACATGGCACATACAGTAGGTGACTGTATTGATCAGGAAGTTGTGATAAAGCCGTCACATCACTGATAGACATCAGCGTCTCAACTCCTCCTGCAGACAGACTTTGTGGCATGTTAGGTCTGACCCGCTGCACAACCAGCTACGTCACATGATCACAGCCTGAATGGCAGACTGCCAATTCTTCTCGCGTATTCACAAAAACTCATTAACTATCACTGCAAAGCTGCGCAAGGCTTTAAAGAAACAGGAAGCCATCACCAATTGTGAGCTTGTTTCTACTTGAAAGATTAGCAATTGACTCAATAAACCTTACACGTAGCATATTTTATCAGTTATGACTCAACCAAAGTGACAGTAAGAAAACAAAAAATGTGGAGTAACCAGTGTCCTTCCAGGTCTGCAGACAGACACAGTCAGGAACCTTTATGTATGTGACATGCTTTGTTTTGCTTTGTCTCCGTGTGTCGGCACTGGTATGGAAGGAGGGCAGGAGGGATGCTGCTCTGGTATCTCCTAATGATGACAGTAAAATGAGCTCAGCTTTGCTTCTGCTGGAGTTATCTGCCTCATGTGCACAGACAAGGAATTATCGTATGCCCCAGGGCCTGTTAATTTGGACTTATTGTTGATAACACACAACAATGAACAGAGACACTGGACACCCTTCTGGGGGAAAAATGAACTCAGAAGCTTTAACTCTTAACATTCCCTCTCAATTTTACTCAAAAAAGACGAAAAGCTTGAAAGGATTTTGTTTGTTGGACTCTTATACTGAAAATCTTAAAAATAGTGGCTCAACGAGTATGTACCTATAGATGACAGAAAAGGTAGGACTGTTTTGCTGTGTTGACGATCCAGTTACAAAGTAAGGAACTACTGCTGCTGCTGCGGCTGCTATTGTAGCTGTGGTATTGGTATCTTTTTGTTTACACGTTAGAATCATTAGGCTTTGTGCTTTCAAATAACATATAAACAGGACTGATGCCATTAAAAATACAGCGGCAGAATTTCTGTGTTGGTGGGTTAGTGGTAAGGGGTTAAGTGATACCAAGCCTGATACATAGTGTGCATTTACAAAATAAATTGTGTTGGTATACAATACAATATAGTGTTCCCACAGAGAAGAAAACCACGTGACTAAAGTGCATTTATTCATTTTATGATTAGGGCATTTTAGCATGTTTTTAACCTAAACTACATTAAGTCTTACTACTGAATTCTTCAAAGGTTGTCTTGTGTAATTTGTTATGTGTTTGATGACCTCAATACACACAATATCACTTGGTTCAGTTACAACTACTATTATGACATTTACAGATTTTTTTTTTTTTTTAGTATTTTACACCAGGTGGTTTGAGTCAGGTGTCTCAAGTATTTGTATAGATTTTTTTTTTTTTCATTACTTGCATTAATAAAATATGACATTGATATTTGGCTTGTAACAGCAGGGCATTGAGGATACAGTCTCTGGAGATTTACAGTTGTCTTTGACCTACTGATACTTAAACGCCAAGTAAAATTAGAACCGATGAGTTTCAGCAGGGTTCTGTGTCTTCCTGTGACCTGGGAAAAAACCTCCCCTGTGCACATTCTTCTAACTAACTCTTCTGTAAACTGAGCAGGAGTGTCGCAGGGGAGGTGAACAATAAACAATACACTATTTATAACCTGAGTTTAATAAGGAAAAAAAAAAAAAAAAAAAACTTTGTTACCTTCCTGTGCCCTGAGCTGCTAACACAATAGAAAAATCTGCTTCAGTCTACTTGGAAGCATTCTAGAAATATCTGCAAAGTGCTGTTTTGGGGACCAAAACTGTGCCACAGTGGAGATGAGAGGCAGGACTCAGATCCTCCACTTAAGTAAAAATACTAACACCATGCTGCAACACTCTATTTAAAGTAAAGGTGCTGTATTACAAATGTTACTTTAGTAGAGTAGGTATAATCACAAAAATGCACTTAATACAGGACAAAGTCTCCTGTGACTGTTATATATTACCAGACTGATGAATTCATGTTCAAGCAGCATATTACTGCTGTAGCTGCTTGAGCTAAGTGGAGCTAATATTTAACTACTGTATCCAAGGCTGCAGCTACTGATTACTGTCATCAACACACAGATTACTTCCTTGGTAAACTAATTGATTATATAAATTGTAAAAGTTCAAATAATGGTAGGATGAAACAGGAATATTTTTGGAGCATTTTTGCATCGTCCATTTATCGACATAATGTCAGATTAATTGACTGTCAACTGACTGATGAATGGACAACTTATTTCAGCTGTACTTGCTTATACTCTGCTGTCGTGTAATTCATAGAAAAATGTAATATTTGTAAGCAAAAATCTAAGTTTTGTTGCAAGTAGCAAGTAACCATATATTTGGATAATAGTGGTTTTCCATCCATCCATTATCTATACACTGCTTAATCCTCACTAATAGTGGTCTTGTTAATATTTAAATAGCATTAAAATTATTTTATGAGGAAATCCAGAAGTTTTGAGGTCTGTTGACGTAACATTGCGACAGAAGAAAATAAGGACGTTTTAAAAAGAATTAACCTAATATTAAGATGAGAGGGCAACCCAATAAATTTAACAAAAAATAGCAAATACTTTTAGAGTAATATGAATATAAGAGTGGGACTTTTAAGGGACGTCAAGTCCATGATATGAAGTAAGAAGCCCCACATGGAAATCAATGATTTTTAACATTTTAACCCTGTGGATGTTAGATTTCTGTTAAATTATGTACATTATCATATGATACAGTAACATAAAAGCTAACCAGCAGTAAAAAATATGTATATATTATTGTCTGTCTTAAAGGCTAACTAGCTGACTATATGTGACTGTATGCTAATAATGTTATGCTATATTAGCTTACTGTTGAAAGTTAGCTTGAACTCTCCCCTACTGTCGGCTGAACATCCCTCGTCATTAACAGTGATTTGTGTTATTTTTAGGTCAGGACTTTGAATTTGAAACTGCAAAAATAAAGCTAAAATTATTCACAAGTAACAAGTTGGTATTGATCAAAATGACAGCTGAGCTAACCTTTTAAAGGATTTTACATTTAGTTTTATAATAAAGCTGTAGTCTGATAGGATCTAATTATGCTCTACATTTGTTCACTTGAACATACTTCTTGTTTTTATATTATGTTGATGTTTAATGTGTAGATATTTTTAAAGAAAACAGAACATTTTCTTCAGGGGGGTGTCTTATCCTGGTTTACCCTACATAGTATAGTAAAAAGTACTATATTTTTCTGTGAAGTTTGAGGTAGCTGTATAAAGTGGCAACTCAAACACCTCAAATTGTACTTAATTGCAGTACTTGCTATAATGTATTTGGATACTATTTGGATACTTTTCACCACTAGTGAGAGGAAGTGGGCTCAACTAAACCCCATTTCCACACAGTCACACTTCACCTACTCTCTGACAAAATGCTGTTCCTTTTACTTTGTCCTTAACTCCACAACTTTGCTCTTTTTCTGAACAGAATCCTTTTCATTTCAAGGCAGTGCATTTCCCTGCATGCTGGGTGCTTGTCACTTTAACAAAATCTGGGGCTTCTGGGACTATTAAGCCACTATGTGTCAGACATTTACTAGACACCAATTTGCAGAGTAAATTATGATTACAGGCTTTTAGATGCTGAACAGAATGTGCCGCAGTGAATTCAGATGTGTTTAAGACGTTTACAGGAAACAAGTGACATCTTGGAGGTCTGGTGTTAAAGCCTAAGACCTGCCACTGTATGAGCTGCATAAATGATCTCCTTTCTCTAAAAAGAAACACAGTGGTGGATGATGATCGTTATTATCATCACTCATATCTCCTCTTATCCTCATCATGATCTGCGTGTGGCACCGCTCTAGTTGTCGCCGGTGCTCCAGCAGGTATTTCTCCTCCGTAAATATGTAAACATAAAGGCAGCATACCCAGCTGATGCCCCGTATGGTCGGCGTTTCCCCTGAGTAGCGGTCCGGGAACACTTGGTAATTGTGACTCCGAAAAAGGTGCATCTTGCCTCAGATCAAAACAACCGACAAACAAGTTTCCCAGTCAGAAGATCTGCACACGGACTCGGTAACTCCGGGCATTATTCTCTGCGTTGATCCGTAAACCCGCTCACTGCTGCACAACCACGACTCAACTCAGCCGCACCGGCAGCTCGGGACTCCGCATTCTGTCCCCCTAAATCCAGTCAGGAGGGTCAGTGTGGTCCCTGCATCCGAACTCAGAGCTCCGAGGACTCAGTGTGAGACTCGGTGAGGACGGACTGTGTCATGTTCAGTCATCCCTCCCAGCACAGGCGCACTTTGGTGCGTGTGTGCGCACTTTGGCTTTGGCAGTAAACTACACGAGAGCTTCTTTTGACGCTTTTACTACTTAATTACAGATGCTGGATTTATTAGGCTTGACACCGCCTTGCTCCGTGTGAATGTGGGCAGCCTTAACGTTTTGTCCTTTATTTTTAAACAACAAAGGTTTAAGCTCAATAAAAACACTTAAAGCAACAGTTTGCACTTGTCTTTTTGAGTTATGACAACTTTCAGTGGAATTACCAACGAACTCCACTGAGTTCAGAGAATCAGTCTTTCCTTAGAAATCAAAGGCATTTTTAATTACCACTTACTAGTTTCTAAGTGATTGCTTATGAAAATTAAGGTGTTCCAACAAGTTTTTCCACATAAGACAACACCTGTGTTGAGCTATATGATATTTGAAAATAATTTTCAACTGCCTTTATTGATTATCATTGTTATGAAGTGTTTAAGTTGACAACCTTTTAAAAATTAAGTTGACTCAATTAGATTAATTGAACTGCAGTTGTGTATTTGATCATATTTCCGTAGGAAATGTCACCTTGAAATTTCCTGTTTAACCTACAGGTTCTCCAACGCCACATCTTAACAGTCTGAAGTTGTCCAGGCGTTTTAAGTAGGTAGGAAATGAAAAATGAAATCTTGAATTCTTGCTGAAGAAAAATGTAAAAGCTTTTAGGCCAATTCCATAAAGTTATTGCAATTTGAATTCAGTTTTAAATCAATAAAAATAAAAATGTGAGTTTAAATTGCACAAAAAATTAAGTTTTTGCAAATACCAATATTAGGATGTGAACACAACTCATTCAAATAATGTTTGAGAATAGAATTAATTTTTAGAGTGTAACGAACAGGCAAGTGTTGACAGACTCGTTGACAGATGGTAGAGGCAGGGTTCAGAGGTGGTAAACTCTGACCTATTTAAGACATGAACACCATACTCTAGACACATTCAGAAATGACAAAGACAACAAAAATATTTGCATTTAATAAGTCTTGTATTTGTGACAAATTTATATTTCTCTGGGCAGAACCTTAAGTTCCTTCCTGTGATAAAAATCTGAATAATTCCACAAAAACTCACTCGACAGGCTCACAACTACCTGTTTACCGGACACTGTAGGTCCGTATGACTCGGTTCAGGGTATTAAAAGAGGCATAATGTTCCAAAGCAGGAACTGCATGGTCTAGTTTGTACAGAACAGCCCACATAAGCAGCAGAACTCTGCATACACACTTATCACGCTGTCCAGCTGTCTGGCTCAAGCAAGTCTGTAGGCACAGATAAACAGCTTCAAGGGCAGAAAGCAATTTAGGTTGAAAACAGCACTTGAGGTCTCTCAGCGGTACTTTTGTCCAGTTCTCACTCTGATCGCAGGTGTTTATCCTTTGCACAGGTGTTAAGCTGTTACACACTCATTACTGCTTTATGGAATCATAAACTCCTGACAGGTGCGCTGCAGCATTCAGTCGTGAATGCATTGCGCTATCTTTCTGTAGCCTCATGCTTTCCTGTGTCTGTGGTTCACACTTAACACCAGTGGTTCAAAGTTGTGGCTTCATTTGTTTTATAAATGCAGACGACTTACTTCCCCCATCTCTGGTGTACAGCGTCTTGGTGGAGGGAAGATGGATTTGACCAAGTTTTCCATAGAGAAGATTGCTTGAACAGTATCTGTGTGAAACAGAAAAAAATGGGTCATACTTTATGCCATTGAGGAAAAACTGTGAATGCACTGTCATGCGTTTTTCCCTTGTCAGTAATTTAAAGCAAAGCAAACTGATGTAAAACTACCGACTGTTAAACAAGGACAAGGGAACCCTCTATTTAACTTCATTTCTCATGCACCACCAGTTATAACTGGATCATGGTCAAACTGTGTCCTGCAGGCTGGAAACGTTATGTAAGAATTGTTTAAATCCCTGCTATTGTTCCAGTGCAGGGCTGCCCTTCCTGTACTGACCTCTGTGTCTGAGTGAGTTTGCCAAGGCTTTCCACAAGACACACGCTGACAAGAACATCTATTCTGTTCTGCTTTCCGTGCTTTGGTTTGGTTGTTCCTCCAGATGGAAAGACGTAGGCGGGGAGTGTATTCAAACTGTCTCTTGTGCAATATTATTAAAACTCCAGCACCTGTTGCTCACCTCGACTTCAAACATTACTGCTTTTCTCTTTGAGCCCTGCTCCATTAGTGTGTGCTGAGTGAATGATAGATCTTCTAGCATATAGAACCTTTCTTCATTTCAGTTGCACAACAGATGGCTAATTATCCCTGCACTATGAAAGGTAGTCTGAGTCATATTTACTGTAATTATGCAGAAAAAAACCAACAACAACAAGATAACTGCTTCTTACCAAGTACAGACCTTTGTGGAGTCATGAGGATGCCCCAGTCGCAGCTCTCCCAAAAGCCAGTGTTAAAAGTAAGCAAGTAGTCAGAGCAAACCAAGCTGAAAGTAGTGCTCTGGCTATACTGTGTGCCTCTCTGTCTCTTCCAAATGCCTCACGGGAGCTCCGTGATGCCAAGTTAAGAATGTTCACGATGAAGGAATCCAGTTTTGCTTCTTATGACCTCCTCAGGGAATATAAACACAATAGCTCAGCTGATAAGGAAGAGCATATTGCAACAGTGTGTTTGATAGAATCTGACAAAGTCACTGTTTTGATTGTCTTCTGAGCACAGTTTCGAATCACTGACCGTTTCAAAGGATTTCTGTTTGTGTCGTACCAAATGCAAAAGAGGACACTCACGCAGTTTTCTCAAAGATTCATCTACAGTGGATGAAGATAATCACAGGATCGCTTTTTGAAAACCAGAAAATTCATGAATAGTAATTGCTTTGTGGCCCAGGGATTTAAATGAAAGCTCATTAACAGCGCTGCAGGTTTGGGTGACCTTGTTTTAGGTTCCGGGAACATCATGCAGTTATAATCATCAGTCACATAAGTCAGAATGTCACAGAAGGAGCTGAAATTAGGCTGCTGACACTTTGAACTCCTCAGTAACACTGCATAAGGTTCATTTTACATGTCCGCCTGGCACTTTGAAAATAAATGCTGCCCTCTATTGAGAGTCCAGATGCCCTGCAGTGTGTGTGTGGTGCAAAATCTAATGCAAGCAAATTTACAAATAAATCCTGAAAATGTAAGTCATAATTAAATCAGGAGATTTAGGAACAGAGCTACTGCCTGATCCCCTTTTTGTGTCCCAACTGAAAGAGTCTATTTAAATGCCAGGAAGCTTTATAAATTTTATAGATGCACTTCACTAATAATTCTGTTTTGTGTGTTGTGTCTATCTGTCTCGCTGTCTTTCTATATTTACTTGTGTGTGTTTCTATTTAGATCCTTTGGGAAAGGGAGTGGGATTTCCTGCAACACATCTACGCCCATGGAATGTACTTTTTCAACTTTTTGTTGCGCGCGCACACACACACATACACACATGCACACACGCACACACGCACATGCACACACGCACACACACACACACACACACACACACACACACACACACACACACACACACACACACACACACACACCTTTTCCTTCCTTTCTTCTAGCCAGTTAGCAGTGACAGGGAAAGACATATTTTATCTGTTTGACCCCACGGTCAAATGAGGACTGAAGCAGAAAGTGAAACAGACAAAAGGTGGAGACGGTAAATTCTACATCTCACAAAACCTCGAATTTGTCAGCCGAGGTTATTTCACTTTCACCTATTTACCCCATGCTGCGTAGTCACATGTCGCTCTCTCTATATGTGTATGTATACCAAATAAATTCAGTTATAAATACTAATAAAAGGCAAAAAATAACTTGAATTCAGAATTTAGATAAAGGATTACTTTGTTTTGAAATTTGGAACAACTGTGATTAAATATTTTCTTATTTTAAAAAACTGCTCTTAAAATGTTGCCACGTGTACCCAACCAGTTATGTTGCATTGCAAATCAAGCTATGAATAAAATACAGTTTTCATCCAAAGATATATATATATATATATATATGCATATAATTTTTAATACAATCGTACAATCAACCCAAAAACATGCTAGTCAGTTACAAAATTCTGACAAATGATCAGTAACTCACCGCTTGTGTAAGATTCTTCAGTTCAATGACTTCCACTCTTTTTTTTTTGGTTTCCTGCTCTCCTTTTCCAGTCTTTGCTTATTTCATACGTCCGAAGATGATTTCTCAGTCGGGGTTGTCTGTGTGAGATGTGGGGAGTGTTACTGGACACAGCTTCCTGTATCTTTCTGATTGGTCATGAAGCGAGAGAGCCTGAGGGCAGCGCTGACACACAGCAGTGTATGTGAGTGTTGGAACACAGCATCAGAAGATACGCAACTGTCTTTGGTTCACAGCTTTTCTTTTCACAGATACAAGTGCATTATGTGGTTTTGTTCTGTGACAACCACGTCTGAATCACATCCGCAGACAAATACAAGAAAGCTTTGAAGCTCAACTTTGGAGCTTAGATTTCAGTTCTCCACATTGTGCAATACTATGGTTCATTTATAGTCAGACTGCAAATGTGGCCTAGAATAAACTATAGTATTCTTTCCTGAGGGATTGCCCCTTTATGGCTGACCCATCCAGTCAGGGTCTTATTTTAATGTGACTATCTCCTCTGTAGAATAATAACTATTGCTGCCTTTATTCCTGTCTTGTTGGTAGTTTGAATTAATGTGTCTATGTGGTCAGGGAAACATTTTTTTTTCATCTTTGCCTGACCACATGAACACAACATTTTTGTTTAGAGATTTGTACGATGATGAGCAACAAATAAGTTCCGACAGAACAGTCAATGGCCTTCATTTACTCAAAATCGGCCCCATGTTCAGTTTTGTGCAAAACTTTTACACGCTTTAAATAATGCACCACCCTCAAGGAGGCATCTGATCAGCCCCAAATTCATTACGCAACATTAAAATAATTCCAAAATACAACTATAACAAACCGTCTTCTGTGTCAAAAACAAAGAGTGCTCTGCAACAGATAGTCTGGCCTGTGATTCAAGACCCAACCTGCCTGCCAAGTACCTTGAAAA